TATAATAGCTATCTTCAATATTTCATAGTCATTCAAGTGAAAAAAGCATTTCACTTATTTTATTTGGTCCCAGAGGGCAGAAAAAGATTAATTTTGTCAATTTTGACTTCAGTTAAAAGAAGAACCTTCCTAACAATTTGAATGTTCAAAAATGAAATGGAAAACCTTTATAGGCAGTGAGTTCTCTGTCACTGGAGGAGTAAAAATAATCAGAGACTGACTGGAGTGAGAACGTATGCTTAAGGCAGAGTTTAACCTAAGTGGTTCTCATCCTCCTTTCTTTAACTATGAATTTATCTTAGATTAGTCTCTCCTCACATAGGTTAAGAGTTTGATAATGATGTTGACAACTTCTGACTTTCTTGGATTAACACTTGTGGCATTTCCTGCCAGTCTACTGATTTAGCCAAATTAAATGAAACCATTTTGCATCTCAAAATTATAGATACCAGATTTTCTGAGTTACATTTGTGGGTGGCCTCTGAATAACCTAGCCACCCAAAAAAGGGAGCATTGAGATTAGCTGGATGAATGACTTATGTTTTTCTTCTCTATGAGAAAGATGTTAAATATTTTAAAACATACTTTCAAATTCTAAATTGAAGCAGTAGACATCAAAAACTTACACAATGTTCTGCCATGTGATGCTAGACATGCACCCAGTGTACATTCAATAAATACTAATTGTCACTGTTGTTTCTGCACTTTCTGGAAGGCTGGGAACATTGTGTAATCGATGCAATGAATAACAGTGCAGCTTACCTTGTTTGGAGTTGTATTATCTTTGTTCAGGGACAGCCCTATAAATAGAGTAGGTCACATCTACCTACTGTGATTTGAAAGGGGTGTTGTCTGAATGTCACACCATTAAGAGTCATTGCTGGGAGGAAGAATGGCATAACAGATAGAGTTCTGGATTTGAAGTCTAAAAGACTAGGGTTCAAATTCTGTCTCAGATACTTACTAGCTATGAAATCCTAGGCAGGACACATAATGTCTATGAACTTGAAGCACTTTTCTAAGCCTGTAAGTTATAGGCACAGGTCCTTGATGTATTATGAAGAAAACTTAGTGATAGAAATGTAAGCATTTATAAATTTCAATCCTAAGTAACAACAACAACAATAAAACAACAATGCTTTGTATCTCAAGGGGTCTCTTCATGGACTCACTGGAGCGTAGATTTAGACCTAGGAAGTGAGCTAATTTGTAATTTCCCCTTAATTTTTATAAATGAGGAAACTGAGCTCAAAGACTGTTGTGACTTATCCATGATTATACAGCTACTACATGGAAGAAAAATTATTTGGACTCAGTTGCTTTGAATATAAATCCATCAATCTTTCCAGTTGATTGAGCTACCTTGTTAATATATGAAGGCATTACCTGATAGAGTTGATAGCTAAACCATTACTACCATTAATAGTAATCCATTAATATAATGGATTAGTTATGCAAGAGCATGGATTAATTTATCAGATTTGCTAGCCCCAGACAGCAGAGCCCTATGGGAATTAAATAGATGTTTTGATCCTTTTATTTTATTTTTTTGAGGGTAGAGGTGGGAACAGGAGCAGAAGGGCCAAGAGATCAGGAGGAGATAATTAGAAAGTTCAAAAGACTGGGCAACTGAGGAGATAGAAAAGGGCTCCATGAGAAACTATGTTTTATTGGCTAGCCAGAAGGCAGCCTGAAAATACTGAGCATCTGATGGGAAGGTAGAGAAAGACAACCTACTTTATTTCACAGTTTTGCTTGGCCTGCCCTGTCTCTGGATTTAACTTCAGTTTGATGAGTATTTGTTAAACAACTCCTGTGTGTTCAATGCCTTTCAGAGGTTAAATGTTACCAAAAAAGTAATAGAATATGGATTATTTATAGACAGAAATAAATGGAAGGAAAGATAGCAAGAAAGGTGAAAAAATATATTTAGGATTTCATTTAAAAATAACCTAGACCAATGTCAGAATAGAATTGTTATGATAGGTAAACAAGTAATTATGAGCTATATAATTAAGAATATATGAAGCCTTGTTAGTTTATGTACAATCTATAAATATCATGACCACAGAGTAATTTGGGGAAATAATTGATCAAAGCAGTTTTATAATAGAAGTGTCAATAGACAGTGTGAATGTAACAACAGAGGGGCCATCACTCAGAAGACTACTTTTTAAATGTGATAAAGGCACTTTCCTGTTTTCTTCTGCTCCAATGAAACAAAGGAAAAAGGAGATACAAAGAAGAGGGGTGAGGACAATTTCTATTTATCTATGGAATTGCAACTAGAATAGGGCCATCACAACTTAGGCTCAGAGCACTGAAAGCACTTGTACCCCTTTAGCAAGCTGAAACAACTTAATTTTGTATCTCATTAACAAGATTAATTAATAAACAGAGGAAACTATCAAATGGGTTGATTCTTCCCCCCCCCAATCCCCAACCATAATTCAGGGGAATTTCTCCAGGCCCCCAATGGTGTTTTATAGTCTTCACACATGGGCCCAATATCCCAGAGTCTCTTCCAGAGATCTCCCTCAAACTGAATTTGTCTGAGAAAACTAAGTGGAGTTTACTTTTCTTTCTGCTTGCCCCAAGGCACCAGACTTCTACATATAACTGTTTACGTATATAGAAAAGATAGAGAAAAGCACACACACATAGAGAGAGAGAGAGAGAGAGAACAATTAATTACTGCTTTCTCAGAGATAACCTAATATATAAAAATTATTGATTTACTTAACTCACTATATTGGATTGCCTTAATTCTACATCTTCTGTTCAAGAATTAGATTCTATGTTCTAAATTTAAAGGTTATTTTTTTTCAAACCTGCACGTATGTTATTTGTGTTTTACTAAGCCAAGCTATGGATAATCATAATTCTCTTCCATGAAGAATGTGCTAAAAAAAACCAAAACAATTCCTCATAGAGTCCAAGGCAGAAATCAAAGTGAGGGTAATTCACTGATCAGCTCTTTTTTTCCTTCATACTTGATTCATTTTCTCTCTTTAAAAATTATTTGGAACTCATTTTCTGCATATTTTAGAATTCAAGTAGGTCTGAAGGATTAATTGGGAACTTCAAGTTATAGATGTAAGTACTTGTTTAGTATTTTCTCTATTAATGTACACTATATGTAACCACTTTATGTGATTAAATTGGTTTAAATTTCCAGCTACATTGTATTTAAATAAAAAACATTTGCACACATATTAAGAGGAAAAAAATACAAACCTCTACAAAGAAAAGTAGTTGAGAAAATAAACGACCTACAAGGACCAGCTACGGAGCTGGTAATCAAATCTGTAGCATCGGGTCTTGAAAAGGAGTCATGGGATTGCATACTAAATACCTGACGTTATTTTTCCAGCTCCCAAAGAGAATATGACTTTCCCGTGCAAAACATTCAAATTGTAGTTTGTGTCCTGTGCTCTGTCTTTCAAATTGTTTAAGACTTTAAAATTTAATCAAGGGATTTCTTAATGGAGGCTAGGAAGAGCAACATCAGAAATACATTTGACAAAAGGGTAACAAATTTCTACTTAATTATTTACAAGGGCCCTATACTGCTACTTAGAGACAGTAAAGTAGTCCAGCTACTGAGCATGAAATCCAGCCATCTGAAAGGACAAGGGCATCAATTCGTCCTCACACCACACAAACAGTCTCCGAGATTACATCTTGTTGATCTTGATGAAATTACAAGCCTGGGATCTGATGCATTGTGCCAGTAATTTATGGCCATAGGTCACTCTGAGTTGAATCTTTCCAGGGCACATCTAGTCTTCTTGTCATTTGCATGCTACTCATTTTAGGTGATGTTTTTCATTATGCCTTTGGGAAGGCATTTGTAATCCTGAAAGCCCTTGCATTTTATACAGCTGACCCTCTTTTCATACAACATAACATTAAAACAAACACCAATACAAAATGCTAGATTCAAGCAATTAACCTATTAGCTTCAGGTCAGGATTGTGCTTCTTTTTTTTCTTTTCTTTTTTTTTCTTTTTTTTTTTTTGGTCATTTACAGAGTGGCAATCTCTCATTCAGCTCACAAGCCCTGCTTTTATATAGGGCTATGAGTAGAGCCTTTTTGAAATCTCTTTTTATTGATTCATAAAAAAAGGAAATGCCTTTCATTTTACTGCTTTGGGTTATATGGTCAACTTTTATCCACGTTTCCCAATTTGTCCTTAAAAAAAAAATAGTGGTAAGTTGTCAAAACTTTCATCGTAAAGAAATAATGAGTTTATGGATTAAAATTCAGACATATTTATATCAGATGGAGTTATATTTATTTGGAACAGGAAGATATCTTAGAAATCCAATGTCATTTCACAAATGAAGAAATTAAGGGTCACTGAGGACAGAAAAAGAGCAAAGTAGAACTAGGCCTTAAACCCAGGTTTCCTAACTCATATGCTGTGCTCAAAAGTTTTAAATAATTCAATTGCCCTCCCCCCTCAAATTCAAGCAACTACATACACGGTACTGGGCTAGGTATTACAGATGAAAGAGAAAATGTGAGATAGGCCCTGCCTTCAAGGAACATACAGTCTTATGGGGAAATAAAGTATACATACGTCTTGTAGGAGAAAAAAACGGGATAAATGCAGAGAAAAGTTGCAAGCAAAATAACGGCAGAAATTTGAGCAGGAAAAGCTAAGTTTCAAAAAAGGACCCCACAAAAGAATTCATGAATAAGAAGGACTTTGAAGGAAGCGAAATTATTAATAAACTGAGATAGAGGAGAGGGATTTCATTCTCCGTACAAGGTAAAAGGTATGTATGGGGACAAAAGAACAAACATCAGAGAAAGCTTGACACAAATAACAGCCTGCTTGCTGCTCATTTTATTACATAATGTGTTTATCATGTATTTATGTAAATTTAGGATGATAATAACACTTAATTAATATTTATTTTAGTGCCTAGTATGCACGTGCCAATATAGTAAAAGCAAAGAGAACAAAGATGAAATAAGACATAGAACTTACCTTCTCTATTACAGTTTGTCTTCCAACGTGGCTGGAACACAGAATGAACTGAAGAGAGAAATTGTGAGAGGCTGTATGCTATAGTAATAGGTTCATTACTTCATTCAGATTGGAACTATGCTCTTGATAACCATGTGATGCTGAGTAATCAATCAAGATCCCTGGGCCTCAGTTTCTTCATCTGTAAAACGAGGGCATTTGAAAAGATGATTTCTAATATATCTTACATCATTAAATTCCGAAAGATAAGTTTGGAATTCAGGATAGGAGCTAAGATTCTAAAGTGAATGACATACCAAAATAAGCATATTCAGTAGACAATGGTGAGCAACTGAAATGCACAGCATTGTGAAGCATGGCTTGGAGAGGGATTAGATGGGAGGTTGGAAGTCCAATTAAGCAGTTATTCCAGTAGTCCAGCTGAGAAGTAATAAAGTCCTAAACAGAAGTTACCGCAATAAGAGTGAGTAACTTACTGTTCCTTCTAGGATAGTTTCCCACAATAAGGCCTTAATTTACTAGAAATCTTCCTGTTGCCCTTCTGATGAAAAGAAAAAGTCACCTTATTTTTGCTGGTTGAGTGATAGCAAAGAACACCATGAATACAATACACACATCTGTGACAGCGTAATAATAATAGCTCACAGTTATATAGTGCCTACTATGTGCCAGGCACTGTGATCAGTGCTTTACAAATAGTATCTCCTTTGATACTCACAACAACCCTGGGAGGTAGGAGCTATTGTTATCCTCATTTTACAGTTTGAGGAAAGTAAGGCAAAGAAGAGTCACATGACTTGCCCAGGGTACACAGCTAGTGAATGTCTAAGGCTGGATTTAACTCAGATCTTCATGACTTAGCTGCCTTTAGACTCAGTTTGACTCATATAACCCTTTTCTACTCACATAGGCAACCTGAGTCCCTAGAAGGTGGCTGAATTACTATTCTTCAAGATTTTAAGGGTAAAGCTGAAGAAATGAGGTTTCTATGAATGTTCTCATCAGCTTCCACCAGTGGGCTTCCAATTAATAACTAAGTGACCAGACTTCAATTAGCATTTAGAAAAATGTAGTGATAAAAGTGGTATAGTAAGAACAGTTGGTATAAAAACAATCCTTCCTAAACCAGGAGCATTCTCCTCTTTTCCACAAGTGGACTCAAACATAGTAACATGGAAGTGAGGCATATGTGCAGACACCCTCTGTGGCAATGGGGTAACTCACAGCTCCAGGTTACTGGATAACCTTTTTTTTCCCTCTTTGATCTAATGAAGTTCCCCTTTGTTATAATTCTCTGATGAGCTGTAAGGGTTAGTGCTCTTGAATCTGACTTTCCTTAGTGTGCCTGGTTTGTCCTTAGCATGCCTGGTGTAGAGATTACTGAAATCAATCTGGGTCCAGTGGACACTGGACACTGCTATAAACACTGATGAGACCTTCATATCTTTCCACCTTTTAATATTTACAGTGTCATAATCTAGTCAATTTTGTATCTGAATACTCCTGTTATTTTTTCTCCAGCACTTTTCTTTGTATCCTTGAGAAGGAAAGGGAATAAGTATTTATAAATGCCTACTATATACAAGGCACTGTGCTAAATGTTTTACAATATTATTTCATTTGATCCTCACAACAAACTTGTAATTATCCCTATTTATTATCCCGTATTTGGGGAAACTGAGACCAACAGACATTAGGTGGCTTGCCCAAAGTCATACAGCAAGTCTCTAAGGCTAGATTTGAACTCAAACCTTCCTGATTCCAAGCCCAGTGTCCTACCCATTGTGCCACCTAGCTAGAGGTTGTAGGAAGCCTTGGCATGTCTCTCCCTGCTCCCAGCTAGACTTGTCTCCAGCTACTCAGTGTCTCCAGTAACATTTTCCATGGGTACCACTTTATCTCTTATCCCCATAAAGGTGATTCTCTCTCATGGTAATCTTCAGCTCTCAAATTTGGAGTTCTCCCCTACTCAACTGAAAGTCATTTAGTTGTTTCAGTCATATCCAACTCTTCATGATCCCATTGGGGGTTTTCTTGGACAAAGATAATGGAATGGCTTGCCATTTCTTTCTCCAGCCCTTTTTGCAGATGAGGAAATGGAAGCAAACAGAGTTAAATGACTTGCCAAGGGTCACTTGGCTAGTAAGTGTCTGAGGTCAGATTTGAACTCAGGGAAAGGAGTCTTCCTGACTCCAGGCCTGGCACTGTATCCACTGTACCCCAGAACCAGAATAGGTTGTTATTTTCATATATATAACCCAAAAGGTGTGTGATATGTGGTTCTGATTCAAACTGATTGTTGGGAGTGAAACAAGACATTTGTAGTTTATTCAAAAGTTTTACAAAAGATAGGTCTCTTAGCAATAGCATAAGAAAGGACATTCAACAAGGATATCACAGTACTTAGAACCAATCTCTCCCAGCATTTCTTCTCCTGCTACACAGCTCATTCTGGTTTTCCCTTGAAAATTGACAAAACTCTCAAACTGTACCTCCCTTGACTAAACAGCACTTGATTAAACATGCCCTGCCTTTACTACCATATTGAAACACATCTGGTCAGCAGGGCAAGGTGTGGTGACTACAGTGGTTTTGGTACATCCACCAACTATGGTCACCAACTTCATGGGGGTGAGCCTTTTATGCCCTTGAGTGACCAAGAAACAAAATCAATATAGCTAGAGGTCATCAGTAAGATTTATGAGAAAGTATTTGAACATATTAACTCAGCCTCTTTATCCCTTAAATGGATCTGTGGTCTCTCAGAAGTGAGAAGTCCTGGGGACAGCTAGGTGGCGCAATGGATACAGCACCGGCTCTGGATTCAGGAGGACCTGAGTTCAAATCAAGCCTCATACACATAACACTTACCAGCTGTGTGACCCTGGGCAAGTCACTTAACCCCACTGCCTAGCCAAAAAATAAAAAAAGAGAGAGAGAGAAGCGAGAAGTCCCTCCAAGTATAGTTTACAACTGAGCCATACTTTTTCATTTGGCATGTCTCTTGTCCATGTCCTCCTACGAATTCTGCATAAAAACTCTACCTAATACACTAAAAACTTTCTTCTAGATCTTTGAACACTTTTATCAGTACCAACACAGCTCTCTATGTTACCTTTCATTTTCAATATTGCTTAGCTTACCTGCTTTTGCATTTCGTTAATAATTTGCATTAGCATTATGAAGAACAAATAAATATAGCATCTGAACCTCCTAATAGGGTTCACAGTCAGCTATTCCCTGGTTCATCATCTTTTTCAATCCACAGCTGAGAATCCCCCAATTCCATTGAATTTCCCTCAGTCAAGTCGGATTGGAAGCTGATCATCATCACAGCAAGACACATTTAGTTAAAACAGAATGCACAATAAACATGATAGGGTTAAATTCTACAGCAACTGCTCATAGCACTCACTTTCCAATACTAATACCTCTCAAGCCTCCAAGAAGAGAAGGCTACAAGGCCACTCATCTCTACTTCTTGTGCTGCACGTTATGGAAGGGCAAAGGGATATTAGATCCTTTCCCTTGAGATACACACTAAAGCCTTAAAGTCTAGAGGGCATAATTATGCACCACAGAGACACAGAAATCTTTCTGCTTCTTCCCAGAACTGCCAAGCTGACATCAAGTATTAACAGGGGTTAGACACAACCGAGGAAAAGTACTCTCTGCTGCCAAGATTGGAATGGGATACACACAGGTAAAGAAGCTTCTCCTTTCCCTAGCATCCACAGGGGCCAAACATACTCTCTCTTATTCTCTCAAAACCACCTCCAGTCCACTAGCTTTCTCATGAGTTTCTCTCTGGCATATTTAAACTCCTCTTCCTCTGAAGCAAGTTTCTGACAACTTCTTTACACTCTGGAATCCTAAACAGGCTTCTGGGGAATATAATTCCCAAGGAAAACATGCCATGTTTCCCCCTCCCCTCTTTATACACATATGACAAGAGAGCTGGGACTACAAGAGGTAAAGAATCACATGCTAAAATAAAATCACAATTCTATAAAAAGATACACACACACACACACACATACACAACCCTCCTAGACAGTTTAAGATCCACCTACGGCTTTGTTAGTAATGCATATGCATGTGGCTACTGTGGGTGATATGGCTTGCATAATGTTAGGAAGGTGGTGGTAAGTCAATCAGTGATCAAATATTTATCAAACAGTTACAATGTTCCAGGCACTGTGCCTTTACAAAGAAAGGTAAAATACAGTCCCTTGAGGAGCTCACAATCTAATGGGGGAGACAGCATGTAAACAACTGTGGACAAACAAGCTGTATACAGTATAAATTAGAAGTAATCAACAGAAGGAAGGCACTAAAATTAACGAGGATCAGGATGGCTACCTCTAGAAGGCAGGATTTTAGCTGGGACTTGAAGGAAGTCAAGAGGCAGTGTTGAGGAGAGAGATCATTAAGGCTGAGGAACATGTGTTCAAGTTATGTTCAAGTTCAAGCTCAAGGCCAGTGTCGCTGTATCACAGAATACTTGGAAAGGCAGTGAACAGTAAGTGGGGGCCAGGTTGTGAAGGCCTTTAAACATCAAAAAAAAAAGATTTTGTACTGGAGTTTATAGAAGAGGGAGTTGTCATGGGCAGGCCTGTGCTTTCAGAGATTGCTTTGACAGTTTAGTGTAGGACGGACTGGAGTGAGGAGAAGCAGGGAGATTGCCATAGTCCAAGCATAGAATGATGGAGACTTGTACAAGGGTCTTAGCAGTATCAGAGTACAGACAGGGATGAATGTGAGAGATTTTGCAAAGGTTAAATCAGCAGGCCTTGGGAACCAACTGGATATGAGAGAGTGAGGATGACACTTAGGTTTCAAGTCTAGGTGAATGGAAACATGGTGGTGCCTTCAACAGTAATAGGGAAGTTGAAGGTGAGGTAGGTGTTTGGCATAGGTAGTAATGTTTGCCTATTATGTCTAATACATGGTTGGTAAAATGGGACTGGTACTCAGGAGAGCCAAGGGGGCAGGATAAGTAGATTTAAGAGTGATCTACATAGAAATGACATTTGTCCCCATGGAAA